ACCGACTACGTGCCAGACCATGATGGACAGGGCTCTGGGACCATGACGGTGAACATGTCTGACCTCATCAAGGTTTCCTAGCATTTTCTAACTCACCTTCCTTGCTCTGCTGGTCTGGCAGCACATGATAAATTGTCTCTGAGTAACTGTGCCTCTCAAAGCCATTTCATAGCCAATGGCACCAAAGCTGAGCTGGTGGGTCAGCGGCCACAGGCTGAACACACCTGGCAGACTTGAGGGCACATGGGATGGAGTGCCACTGCTGAATCAGGGAGGTGGCGAAAGGGCCTGGGTATAGGGGGCAGCTGGCCTTTGAGTGGAGAGCCTGATTCCAGTCCCAAGGGGCTTGTTTGTTTCAGTGTTGGCTTGTCTACCAGAAGCCAGGATATAAGCGGGGACTCTGGCACTGACTTTGCTCCCCATAAAAGCACCCCCCACTGGCCAACACACAGAAATTGTCCCACAGAGGGGGATTTCAAACTTCCCTGAAATTTTTGGCATTTCACATTACTTGCCCACCAAAAATAATGGAATGTTCCAGAAGCTGAACAACTGAGGCTGGAGCACAGGTGACTGGTGCCCTGAACCTGGCTGGGCTCCAGCACTGTCACTTGGGAAGGCCTCAGGTAGAGTGACAGTTTCTACTGCTCTGGGAGAAGAGACAGAGGTCTTTACACCAAGTCCAATGTCCTTTCATGACATGGTTTATCCTGCCCTGTCCCATATGGAATCCAGGTTATGGTCAGGGTCAAGGGGTGGCAGTGGGTCCCACCAACACTTGAGCTATTCCTGCATTCTCTATGGCCCCTCATCCCTGATGCCCTGAGGAAGCCCATGTATGTACCCAGTGCCATGAGCAGCCCGGTCCAACCATGTACTTGGGATTTCCATGTACCTAAGGAGTTGGATGAGGCTTTGGAAGAGTGAGTTTTCTGATTACTCAACAAACCCAGATCTAAACTCCAGCCCAGACCCTGAGGATGTCAGATCAATAAGTCTCAGGTCCCATTTATTTCCCTCCCCAGTCTCTCCTTCAGCCTTATCTGCACTATAAAGCACAGTTGTGACAGTGTGCAGGGTACCGGAGGAGGTGGGGACTCTCAGGCTTCTAGGACTGAAAAAGCATGCTGAAGAGCACCACCCTGTGGAGACGCCGCCCTCTGCCTGCACTCATCTCCCAAAGTGCCCCAGGGTCTTTCTATAGCATCCCTACTCCACAGACACACCTCAGGTCCCTGGTTGGAAGTCTTGTGCAGTAACCTCTGTTCCTTGAGATTTCTGGGCTACCTCTGAGGATTCCCATCAGACCCCAGGGTCAAAATCCCCCTACATCCAGGCCTCCTCCTAGTAAATGAGCAGGCTTTTTACTAGAACACAATGTACATGTTCTGTACCCGAAGCTACACTGTGTTCTAGTAAAAAGCCTGCTCATATTGGCCAGAGTCAGAGAGGCGGTCTATTAAAAAAAGAACTGGTGTTGCCTCGGAAGTGGGGGGTAGTCTTATACAGCGAATATAGGCCTAAACCTATGTTTTAACTGTAAAATTAGGGGGTCGTCTTATATGCCGGAAAATACGGTATCTGTGTTGTATGTCCTGAAGGAAGAGACTAAGGGGTCTGTAAGGCAGTCTGTACGCCAGTGGTCGGCAACTCATTAGCCAGTAAAGCCAAATATCAACAATACGATTGAAATTTCTTCTGAAAGCTGAAAACTGACTTCTGCCCATGGGCCACCAAGTTTCAATAGCGCTGTATGTGCACACCTGTGGTATTTTGTGGAAGAGCCACACTCAAGGGGCCAAAGAGACGAATGTGATTCGCGAGCCGCAGTTTGCCGACCACTGACCTAGGCCAACAATGGCAAAAATAGGACTTCTGGCCACTCCACACAGGCCATCGGTGCTGCTGATCCAGTCCAGCGCTCGCAGGCCGGCAGTTAGGTTCTACCCCAGCTTCCTATCCCTGGTAGGGCTCCCAGGCCACCAGGCAGCTGGCTGGCAGGATCCTGCACCAGCACCTATGTTTATGGGGTGTGTCCTTGAAGACTCCTGCAACCCCTTATCTGTCAGGCAGCCTTATCTCCTTCAAGATGTGCCCTAGGCCCTGACTGGGCAGCCTGTGGAGCTGTCTGGTGTCCTAACAGCCCGGCCAGAGCAAAAATGGCCATCAGGCTGTCACGTCTGAGGATTTCAACACCAGCTGTGGAATTTGCAAGTGGATGAATGCCATACTGTGCCCGGGAGCCAGAGAATGTGTTCAAAAACAGCTCCTGGGTATATGTCGCATGGGGCCTTAGTGACACAGCTCCTGGGCATGTGTCAGAGGGGGCCTTAGTTACAGCTACACAGCAGCCAACAGAGAACCCTGCTGCTGCTTGAACTACACCAGCAGGGAGGCTAACTGCCTCAGCTCTCATGCCAAACAGAAAATCCCAGGTGCTGAGGAGATGAGAGGAGGCAGATGTGGGTTGTGGGACATCCAAGAAAGCTAGTTTCCTCTTAGAGATGGAAGCTCAGTATGTCCAGCATAACCTGAGCTGCCCCGGCCTCGGCTTGGAGGGCAGATGCGACCATACTAGGAATAGTCTGCATTCCTGCCTGTGGGAGTTGGCTAGGCTCAGACCCTGGAAAGGCCCCAGGCCTGCTCTGGGAGTACCCGGGATGCCTGTTGTGGGCGGGGCCCAGGATGCCTGGCAGGTTCTTATGAACAAAGCTGACGCTGCCATGTGTCCGCTTGGCTCCACCAGACCTGGCTGCAGCTTTGCACAGGCCCAGGCAGTGGGCCCCATGTGCTGGTACTTGTGAAAGCAAGAGGCTCTCTCCCTAACTCTCCACTTATATTGCAGGGCCTTCCAAGATTTTAAACAAAGAGCCCTTGAAAAGTTGACTCCATGGAGCTCACAGAGATCTGCACCAGGAGACAAACCTCAGCAGCAGCCACCAGTTACTCAGCTGCCCCTCTGCCCTAGCCAAGGCATGGCTGCTGGCTCAGCTGGCCTCAGCCAGCTGCTTCTTCCCTGGAGGAGGGTTTCCCAACGGCCTCCTCGGCCTCGTGCATATGTGGCCAGACCCGTGAGCCCAGCGTGGGCTTGAGCAGAGTTCACATTTCAAATAGAATCAGACATTTTCAATATTAAAATTGCCTCAGGAGACAGTCTGAACTGCCACAGATGCAACCCATTCTCGTCACACGTGGAGCTCGTGTTGTTGTGGTTATAATAGACCTTGAATTAAATTCATCTAAACCCTATTTATAGACACTCATTTAAATTTAGAGAGTATAACTTTTCATAAGAACTATTAAACACCTAGAAATTTAATTTTAAAAACTGTAAGTTCTCTGCTCACAAAAGGATTGGAAAAAAAAAAAAAATCTAAATTCCTGCAAACAGTAACCATGGCTTTCTAAATCTACTCTAGTAATAAACTTCCATGAAAGGACAGATAAAAATTCTTGCTGGAGGAATGTATCCTGATGCCTGTAAGCTCTCAATGCACACAAAACACAGCCGCTTGGATGAGATGGGTTCACTTGTGTTTTTTCTCGAACTCATTCTGGCCAAAGCTGAGATGCAGGATGGGCGGAGCCCCTCTGGGTGGCTGCTCCTGCCCTGCTCACAGCAGCCAGAGCTGAGCATACTCTCCCAGGCTCTGGGGTAGAGAGGACACATTTGTAGGGCAAATTCAACTTTTTCAAATGGCATTTATAGCAACAGGCACATTTCATCCTCTACATCTCTGTGAGGGAAGCATGACAGGTATTAGCTGCTGTAGAAATAGAAACAGAAATTCAGAGGAGGTTGAAGGGAAGAAAAGCCCCTGGAGGAGCTGTGCTGAGAGGTGAACCCGCACCTGAGACTGGCTGGGGCCTCCAGGAGGCCCGGTCCCTCGTGTGTGAAGACAGAGCCTGTTTGGCTGGGACGGTGGTTGAACAACCCATGCTTTGGCCCCACGCAGGAGCCGCTCAGAGCCTGAGTGGTCCCAGTCTAGCTGTACTTTAACAAACAACAGCCGAGGTCCAGCTGTGGGCTTCCCACTAGCTCTGCTGCGCAAGGCAAGCCTTAAAGAGATCATGGAGAAAGTCCTCCATTTCCTAGCAGGGGACAGCCAAGCCTCCCTGCACTCTGTAGACCCTACAAGGCAAGACATCTCAATATCAGGTTCAGGTGCCTAGTGGGGCAGCGAGGCGGGACCACAGGAACCCCATCGTGCTGGGTCAAGCTAATTTTCTCATGGCTTCAAGTCCATCCTTTTATCCTATTCTTTGAAATGCTGGGCTTGGGATTCTGCAACCCACATTCCTGCTCTCCCGCCTGATAGGCTCTGCCCACAGTGAGTACTGGAGGGAGCCCAGAGGCTGGAGACGGAGGAAGTAGCTCATGTTTGGTTTACTTCCTGTTTATCTCTCTGGGCTTCCTGTGCCTGTCCGTTTCCCCTAACAATGCTTCTTGTTCACTCAGGTAATGTCAATTCCTTCAGAAGCATTTGAGGATAGCTTTTTGGTTTTCCCAATACGCACAGAATCAACCTCAGCCAAAACAACCCCCTCCTCACTGCAGGAGCACCATCCCCCCGGGGGCTCTCCTCTGAGCTCAGGCACTAGCACCAGCTAAGGAGCATCCCACTTCCTCACCTCGGGAACCTAGGATTCAGCCCACACCCCCTCCAACTGTCTCAATTTTAGGTAGTCCAATAGCTTCCCTTTGTCCCATCCACCCGCGGCCTTGGAGGTGATACCTGCTTCCTGTGTTTTCAGTTACCTGGATAGTAATTCTTTCTATTCAATTATCTCTAATAATATTACTGGTGTGACTTCTGTCTTCTGTCTGGACACAGCCTAGTTTACACACAGTTAGGTCCCACAAATTGATAATGGGAACTAGAGCTTGGGCTTCCCAGCCTGAGCAGGGGCAAGTTCAGCCTTGAAGGACATAGTGAAACTTGTGGCAAAAGAAGCTTAATTTCTGTACAATCTTGAGGGGTTGTTGCAGGGACTGCTTGCTAAACATTTAAATGTTTTTCCTTGCTGGCCAGAAGGGAGCTATACGGAAGCATCCTCATCAGAGGTTTTCGAGAGAAGATGATCTTGTTAAAGTTTGCAGTGGGACTTTCTCTGGAATCCATGTGATAGGGTTTGGGCTCTGGGGTGACGGGGGGACCTGTGGCTGATGTCGAAAAAGCACTCCACACCGACAACAGGGCCTCAGACTTTGAGTCCTTGAATGCCATTTTGCTAGAGTTCTTGGATGACTTTTTCCTTTTCAGCTGGACGATGCTGGACGTCTTGCTCTGCCTGTGAGTCCTTCGGCTTTCCTCCAGAGCCTGGGAGCATTCCAGTTCTCTAACTTTGCTTTTCTCAATGAGTCTTTGCACCATCGGGGAGGTATATGTGACATAGGCCGGCCAGGGGTCTTGTTTTTCAAGCAGTTCCAGAGGAAGCCCGATGTTTTCTGTGAGTTCTGCCAACAAAACAAAACAAAATTAGGCAATTTAGAGGCTCTCACAGACATTAATTCAATTCTTCAAAGAAGGAGAGGGTATAGGAAGTACATTTTGAACTTCCCTCAGTCCTATAATAGCTGTCTCACACCTCTGTTAGGGGGAATAAAATTAATCCAAAATTAGAAAACAGAATCACATTCCAGAGAGCATACCAAGTAAAGAACAGCATGGTAGAGAGAGCTTGGATTACCCAGGCTGGGTTTCAGATCTTTATATAAGACCAACTTGTTTAGCTCTGAACTTCTATTGTTTGACAATAAAAAAGGTTACCGTAGGCTACAGTAAGGATTAAATCCTGTTAACCAAGCGGGACCTATAAATATGTCAAACGTAAACAATATCGGGAACGGGTAGGACGTATGAATACATCCTTGAAATATATGTTGTGCCCTGAGAGGGACAGTATATATTTTTTGTAATCTTTATAATTGTTTGTAAAATTTATAATTTTTTAATTCGATGTTTCCATTTTTTTTGTTGGTATTCTTTTCTATTTGTTTGTAATTTTGTATTTTCCTTTGTGCTTTATGTATAAATAAACAAATATATATATTTCATTTATTTTAATTAAGTATAAATAAAAAAATAATAATATGAAATTACGTCCTCCAGGCGTGACGTACTGACTCGTCCTAGTGAAAGAGTACGCGCCCATTACAGGTTGTGTAATTAAAAAGGAACTCCCCGGTTAACAGGTTATTAAATAATGTGATGCATTTCAGGATATGAACATATGGGCTTCTCATATGGGCTTAACAGCTGTGAACTTCCAACAAGTGTTTTTATTTTGTCTCTTTTTAAAAATATATATTTAAAACATAATTTAAAAAATCTTTATTGTTGAGAGTGTTACAAATGCCCCTCCCTCCCTCCCTCCCTCCCCCACGCCATTTCCCAGTTCCCACCCCACACCAGGCCTTCACCACCCTATTGTTTGTGTCCATAGGTAGTACATATAAGCATATAAGTTCTTTGGTTAATTTCTTCCCACCTCTCCACCCCTCTTCCCTCTGAAATTTCTCAGTATTTTCCATGTTTCCATGCCTCTAGTTCTATTTTATTCATCAGTTTATTTTGTTCCTTAGATTCCTTGTTCATTTATTTTGATTTTTAGGTTTAATTGTTGAATATATATATATATATATATATATATATATATCCATTGATATATATATAGATAGGTAGATAGATATATATCCATTTTATATCCTTTGATATATATATATATATATATATATCCATTTTATTTTTCTTATTATTTAATCTTTTTTTTTTCTTCTTCCTAATTGCTTTTCTTTTACTACTTTTAAGATTCTCTCTTTATCTTAACCTTTGACATTTTAATTATGATGTGTCTTGGTGTGGGCCTCTTTGGGTTCCTCTTGTTGGGGATCATCTGTGCTTCCTGGACTTATAAGTGCATTTCTTTCACCAGGTAAGGGACATTTTGGTCATTATTTTTTTCAAATATGTTTTCAATATCTTTCACTCTCTCATTCCTTTCTGGTACCCCCATAATGCTATTGTTGATACACTTGAAGTTGTCCCAGAGGCATCTTATAATATCTTCATATTTTTTTAATTCTTTTCTGTTTTTGCTCTTATGATTGGTGTTTTTTGCTTCCTCTATACTAAATTGTCTATTTGATTCTCAGAATCCTCTACTATTGAATCCCTGTAAAGTATTCTCTATTTCAGCTAGTGTATGCTTAGTTTCTAACTAGTCCTTTTTCATGTCTTTAAAATTCTCACTATGATCTTTGAAAGTCTCACTAAGTCCCTTGAAGTCCTCATTAAGATTCTTGAGCTAACTTATAACAATTGTTTTGAACTTTGTCTAGTAATTTGCTGCTTTCATTTCATTTAGTTTATTTGTGTGTGTGTGTGTGTGTGTGTGTGTGTGTGTGTGTGTGTGTTTTCCTGGAGATTTCTCCTGTTCTTTCATTTGTGACATTTCTTTGTATCTGCATTTGGCTGCTTTCCCATATTCAGTTCTATGCATTAGGGAAAGCTGCTATGTCTCCTGGAATTGGTACAGTGGCCTTGTGCTATAGATGTCCTGTAGGTCCCAGTGGCTCAGCCTCCTCATTCACCTGAGCTGAGCATTCTAGGTGCACCCATGTGTGGGGTGTGTTTTGCTATAGTTGAGTCTTGGTTGCTGTTGGTGTCACAGGAAAGAATTGACCTCTAGGCCAAATGGCTTGGAGGACCAACTTCAACTACAGAGGAAGATCTTCCGTGCAGGAGACACTCCTATGAAGTAGGACTTGCTTGAGTTGGGCTTTTATTCAGAGAGGAAAGGGAAGGGAGGAAGAGACAAAAATTAATGATGAGAGAGAATCACTAATCAACTGCCTCCCACACACCCTCCATGGGTGATCAGCCTGAAACCCTAGGCATGTGCCCTGACCAGGAATCAAACCATGACCTCCTGGTACATAAGTCAATGCTCAACCACTGAGCCATACTGGCTGGGTTCAAACAAGTGTTTTAAACCTTTCTAAACCTTAGTTGCCACATGTAAAATGGTGATTCACATAAGATCAACTTAGGGCTTTCTGTGGATTAAAAGAAATAATTTATGTAAGGTTTTAGTACCATACCTATCCAGAGAATTTCTGGTTTTCTAGAATTCATTAGTTTATATGTTCAGTTTTGCCACCTCTGTGGCCTCTGAACAGGTAAAAGTATCATGGAGCATTTCTGTTCTTACGTGCCAATGCCCATTGATCAAGTCTCAGGTGATTTATAACAAGTTTCCCAGGAGATGCTGAGGATGTTGGTCAGGAGACCACACTTTGAGACCATCATTCTAGGAAAATGCTCAAATTTTCATGAGCACTAGAATCACCCAGAAAGCTAGTTAAAACACAGAAGGATGAGTCCTACCCTAGTGGATCTGATTTATTAGGTCTGCTTTGGGGATCTGAGAATACATTTCTGAATAACTCCCAGGTAATTTACCTGTCCTGAGGACCATAATCTAAGAATTTCTAATTTAGACTGAAGAATGATTCTAAACCTTGTTTAGCTGACTTGCTCATGTGTGAAACACTCCCCTGAAATAAGCAATTCCCAAGGGTTCCACCCTTTAACTTTCTACTCAAAGGAAGCTTTGTAGAATACAAGTGAGTGTGTTGTACACAGGAGAAGCCTCAAATTTCACTATCTTTATAAAATAAATTATTTACAAATGTTAGCATGATATTATAATGAAAGATAGCATCTTGGAGATTTATTCATATTCTTTTTTTTTTAAACTAGCTTTGTCAAACCTCTGATTCAGGCCTGACAGAGTCCCTTTTATTGTCTTAGTGAAAATCCTTTATGACAATACATTCTTAGGAGAATTCAATGTCATTTTTCTAAGGCGAGGGAAGAAGTAATGCTCAAATAGTTCTCTAACCTTGAGAGTTTCACATAGTAATAAAAAAAATTGGAAGTGAAAGCAACTTACTTCTTCTAAGACCTACCATGGGAACTCAGAATTTCAGTGCATCATTCCAGGTTCCTAGTAATATAGAGTATGACCCCCAAAATCCCCCAGCACACACCTGACTACCTACAATGGAATTGACTTATTTATCATATTTTTAAAGCTGGTAGGAATGTGTTTTTACTTCACCTCATATGTACAGTAGGGTTACTCAATCATACCAGATGGTGACAAAACTGTCTTGAGTTGGTGGTATTTGAGGAATTTTGGATAATTATTTTTATCCTTCCCTCTAAGTTTCTAGTTAATGAACCTTGAAACCTCAAAGAAGTCCAGTTATTAATAAGCTGTTTGTTTCAACATTAATCTACAATTGTATAAGTCACCATCTTGTTCAAAACTCTTTACCATACATTTCTGGACCCTACAGAAGTCCTCTGGCCAATAGCACAATTCTAGAAAATGGCAAGTTTGTCTCCTACCTGCTGACCCAAGAACTAAGAAACTAGAAAATTAAGGGAGCAAATGTTTGAGACAGCCTTAGAAAGCATGGGGAGAATTTATTTAAAAATAAGAGGAGACAGATAGTTGACATTAAGTCTGAAGACAAGCTTTGGGCTTTGACAAAGATTTCATTCTCTCTGTAAATGAAATGCAGACCAGCAGTCTTCAGATAGAAATAGCCCTGATGAAAGGACAGGAGGCACAACACTGATGTGGTTTTTGTGTTTCTCCCTCAGACACAGGCCCATGATCCATCCACTGGGTTTTCAATCCCAACTCCTTCCCATCCCTATCCCATCCAATCTCTTATCCCGCCATTTCCAGCATCCAGTCTGATATGCTGGATGTGATCTACATAAATTCAAAAGAGTGACACTTGCATGGAATCTGGCATGAATGCATGAGCTTGATCATAATCCTTAACTTCTTGGGACTTCTGTTATCAAACAAGGTGAGGATGAGGATAAATTTCTGACCTGCTTCTCTCACAGAGGCACTGCTGTTATAAATCTGGAAATAAAAGTGTTTTAAACTAGCGATCCCTCAACTTTGCTGCACATTGGAATTACTAGCGAACCCTTAAATATTTAAATGCCTGATTCCCACCCACAACATTGTGATTGCACTGGAATGGAATGCAACATAGGCATTAGAATTAAATGCTTGATTCTAATGTGCAACAAAACTTGACAACTGCTGTTTATTTTTAAAATATATTTTATTGAGTTTTTACAGAGAAGAAGGGAGAGACATAGATGAGAGAGAAACATCAGCTTCCTCATGCACACCCCCTACGGGGATGTGCCCACAACCAAGATATATGCCCTTGCCTAGAATTGAACCTGGGACCTTTCAGTCTGTAGGCTGACTCTCTATCCATTGGGCCAAACTAGTTTTGGCAGCAACTGCTGTTTAGAATCTAAACCATAAAACA